AGAGAGAGAAGGGATATCATCGTCCTGCTTACCCGACGATACGCACGCCTCTCCTCGTAATCATCGTCCTGGAACAGATCAGAATCGGTGTTTAAAAGCGGGGCGGCGGACGATTCTCGGATAGTCGGGAAATCCCCGAAAGGGAGGGTTTAAAAGCGAGATTTTTACCTGATACAGGCATCGGCTCACCAGAATGGTCACCGCGTTCTTCGTTTCGGCGAAAAGATTTTCCGTTTGTTCCTTGTTCGCCACATCTTTCCCGTTCACCTGTAACAACGAGTGTATAATAATAGCTTTTTTCGTCCCAACAAATAAAACTCTTCGAACGGAGAAATTTTTTCTCGCCCGCCGATATATTTCTCCAAGAAAGAAGGAAACGAGAGAGAGAGAAAGAGAGAGAGAGAGAGAGAGAGAGAGAGAGAGAAGAAATGCGCGGATCCGTTCGTTCATTCCTCGATCCGATTTCGCTCGAGTCTTTGTTCCGCCGATTACGATCCCTCCTTAACGGGATTAGGAGGGTAGCGCACAGGTTGGAATTAGACAAGGCGGTTGGTAATCGAATGAACTCCGTTTCTACGGATTCGTCGGATCCGATGATGGTAGGGGTTTACCCTGAGGATTTGATCGCCTTCTCGCAATCGGCCGTCGCGCGCCGCCAAACTTTCAGGAACTATTTCCGAGATGTAAACCTCGGTGTCGGCGTCTTCGCTGCCCGAACCGGAACTGTAACAGACGGTGAGCCCCAGCTTCTCAGCGCTGCCCGTCTTCCGCAACGTGACCTCCTGTAATCGGGACCTCCGTTAATTCGTTAATCGGGCCAGTGACGGGTAAAATTTAATTCGATCGAAGTTTACGAACAAAGTTTACTTCGATAATTTATCGTTCGAAATACGAATTAATAATTCGTACGATGATTTATAGTTAGATAAAATAAATTCGCGTTATTCGAGCATTTTAATAAGTAATTATTCAAGGCGAGTTTGGTTCGAAATTTTTTAACCAATAAACTTTTAATGCCTCTCTCCACGCCACGAACTCGTCTCGTCTGGTGGAAGGGCGATCGTAATAGCACGCCCCCTACCACCATCTTTCCTTACTTACCTCGAAGTCGATGTCGTGCGCGAGGAAATCTTCGAAACTATCGTTCGGCTGCTCGTCCACGACCTCTTCCTCGGTCTCGATAAGTCCGGCCCAATCGGTCTGCACCGCGGTCGAGACGAGATTCGGCCAAGCGTTGCTCGTTCCGTGCTCTCGTTTCTCCGACTCTTTTTCCTCTTGAGCACAATGCATTCGGTGACCGTGGTGATGCTGCTGTTGTTGTTGTTGCGGCTGACGTCGCAACACTTCCACGATGATCGGCTCTTGGGCCGATTGAAAGCAACGTACCGCATCCTCGTGGCTCGAATTTGAAACGTCTTGACCGTTTACCTGAGAAATTATAAAGCGTATATGTATCGTGTATGTACGTGTTCAACGATTCTAGATAAATATCTCGAGGTAAATTCCTTTTTTTAATAATCGAATATGTATCGATAATAAACGCGACTAGGTCAATTGAAGGGAAAACGCAAAAAGAAACGAAGAGTGGAAAGAACGAGTTTCCTAGTTAGAGAGACGTTCAAACGTTGGTTAGGAAACGAGGCGAAGATGAGATATCACTCGATGCGTTAATCGTTACTTTTTTCTTCAAATGGAAAAAGCTCGTCGCGCCTCCTAGGTTGTCCCACTAGGACTCGATCCCATTTCGAGTAATTTGCCAACCGTTTCTTCCATCGTCTATTATATATATATATATATATCGTTGTGGATAAAACGGATCTCGTTTTCTCGCGTCACCGACTTGGTTCTTTTCAATCGATCGATCAATCGGCAGGTAAAAAAAGAAAGGGGCGCAAGGAAAAAAAGAAAAAAAGAAAAAAAAAGGAAGCGAAGAAACCAGAAGTCTCTTTGTAATTTTTCCGATCGATAGTTTGGTTCGCTGGTTAGTTCTCTCTCTCGACAATCGCTCCATCTTTTCGTTCCATTAGTCACGGTCGAAGGATGCTTTCCACCGTTTTACGAAGAACGCTCGCTCGCCTTCACCTCTCTCTCCCCCCTTCCCCTCTCCTCTCCCTTTTCATTCCGCGACGAGGATCGCGTCTGCGTCCCGTTCCCAATCGTTTCCACAGCTGTTTTTTTTCACTTTCATCGTTTCGGTCACATCGTTGGTCAATTTTTCGGATCGCGGTCGATCGTGTGTGACAAATCGTATGTTTTTCGCGTCGCGGGATCGAAACGAGGATCGCGTTGTTGACGCGGGAAAAGGAAAAAAATAGTTGGAATCAGTACCAGAGTGATGGTGATGGTAGTGGGTGGTGTTGGTGGTGTTGGTGAAGGTGGTGGTGGTTAAGAGCGGTAAGGAGAAAACGGAGAGGAGAGAAAAGGGGATGGGG